GGAGATCAGAGCCAGGGTCTTGGACGGACATGGCGAAATGAGATTTTCGATGTTGTCGGCCGGTCTTGGGGAAGTACTTAGGCGTTAATTTGACTTTGTCACTGGTGGTATGAGTTATGAATGATTGCGCTATTCTTTGTTCAACTGCTCAATTGATCTGACAGTCCAAACCACCTCTCTTTCACTCTATACTTTTAATCTAGTTAATGTAACTAGCTGATCACCTGTCCTTTACTCGAGCTCTCACAATCTAGTTATGTGATACCTCAATAAACAGGCAAAAATGTCCAGCACGTGACCGGACAAACCATTTTCCTCCACGTTGCGGCCACCTAATCAATAGCTACTACCTCTCTATCAACACGGACTTTATCAGTAGTGGCCGGCCAAATACCGCGCAAGAAGTCCAGGGCAAGCGCAAAACAATCACCGCCAGCACCAACTCCATCTTGAGTTCTTTGCTGATCTCAAGTCTTCCTGAAGCATCCAGGACCATTCCAATCAACACAACATCACAGACAAAGTCTAGTCTTACTTCACAAGCTATACCTCTGCTTCAGAAATACAATACACAATACACCACCTTGGCATTGACCATTGAGGCATCCTTGACCAATTGCTACGTGTAAACGCGGCTGTGATGCAGCTTGCCCACCAATCATCACAATGCGTCTAATTACAATTCTGCTCGCGATTGCGCTCTGCCTGGTCCTGGCGCTGGCCAAGGAGGATTACTATAAGATCCTGGGGCTGGACCGCTCCGCCTCGGAGCGGGATATCAAGCGCGCGTACCGGACGCTGAGCAAGAAGTTCCATCCGGACAAGAACCCGTAAGTCTATTACCACTCCAAGGCGCTCGCTCGCGAGAGGAATGGGGAGAAGCTAAACTGTACGGACAGAGGCGACGAGACGGCGCGGGAGAAATTCGTCGAAATCGCAGACGCATACGATGTCCTCTCCACGCCAGCCACGCGGAAGATTTACGATCAGTACGGACACGAGGGAATCGACCAGCACCGGCAGGGCGGGACGGCAGGACGCCCCGCGAACGACCCGTTCGACCTGTTCTCGAGGTTTTTCGGCGGCGGTGGACACTTCGGGCATGCGCCGGGCCACAGGCGCGGACCGGACATGGAGATGCGGGTGGCGCTGCCGCTGCGGGATTTCTACACGGGGCGGGAGATCCGGTTTGGGATTGAGAAGCAGCAGATCTGCGATGCGTGCGAGGGGACGGGGTCGGCGGACCGGGAGGTGGTGACGTGCCCCAAGTGTAGTGGGCGGGGAAGGATAATCCAGAAGCACATGCTTGCGCCGGGGATGTACCAGCAGGTGCAGATGCCGTGCGACGCGTGCCACGGCCAGGGCAAGACGATCAAGAAGCCGTGTCCTGTGTGTGCGGGGCAGCGGGTTGTGCGGCGCGAGGTGGAGACGGTTGCGACGGTGGAGCCGGGCATGGACAAGGGGACGCGGCTGGTGTTTGAGAACGAGGGCGACGAGAGCCCGGACTGGGTGGCGGGCGATCTGATCCTGGTGCTGGAGGAGAAGGAACCCGAGCTGGCGGCTGAGCAGGAGCGCCGTACCGACGGCACGTTCTTCCGGCGCAAGGGCAGGCACCTGTTCTGGAGGGAGGTGCTCTCGCTGCGGGAGGCGTGGATGGGCGATTGGACGCGCAACATCACGCATCTGGACGGGCATGTCGTGCAGCTGAGCCGCAAGCGCGGCGAGGTCGTCCAGCCGCTTTCCGTCGAGACGGTCAAGGGCGAGGGCATGCCGTTCTATTCCGAGGGTCATTTGCACGAGCACCACGATCACGATTCGGAACCGGGCAACCTGTACGTCGAGTACGCTGTCATCCTGCCGGACCAGATGGAAAGCGGGATGGAGAAGGATTTCTGGGCCATGTGGGAGAAATGGCGCAAGAAGAACGGGGTCGATCTCGGCAAGGACAGTGGCCGGCCTATGCCTTCAGAGGGCAAAGATGAATTATAATCGTCTTCATTTCTGTACAACCTTTGATAGACTAGAAGAACGAATAAAAGTATCCATCAAAGGCGCCTACTGCAAGTATTTAACGCTGTTGACCCAAAAACGCTGTCCCCAGGGTCCCCGTCATCTCCGCTAGTTGCGTCCTAACGATCTCCGCGCAGCAGGGCTCAAAAGGCCTCCTTATCAGTCCAATCTACCCATCGTAGATCCTCGAGCATCTCATCGCCCACACAGCTTGGTTGCACAGAGTAATTCACTAGTTTTGCACGGGGGATGAGCTCGACTTCTTCCTCTTGGTAGCTCCACACTGCCTCATGTCTGAGGGCTGGAAGCTGTTGAACCAGATCCACAACCTCGGAATCAAGGCCCTGGCGTTGTAGGCGTGGGATATCGATGTTGTGGTGTGGCGGGGTCACAATGTCAGTCACATAGATATACTGTGCTTTTACCCAGAGGTCAAACATCTTCGTGAGCCCTTCACAAGTCCTTTGTGCTTTTTCTGGATAGCATCCATGGCTATTAGTGTATGAGCTTCTAGCAGGTAGCATCAAGCAGAAACCAGCCTGGCCTATTGCATCGGAGCTGCTGCGAGGTTAGTAGTTCAGTGGTTAGAGGTGAGACGCGACGGTGATCCAAGATTCCTAGCCTTTGATCGCCGGATCGAATTGCTGGTCCAGACAACGCTCAATCCAGCTGATCTATGTTTTGAACAGGATCCTTTGCTTACTTGTAGTAACATTTCAACTGATGTTATTATAGTAAAACTAATGGTTGATAAAGCCTTTGCATTTGCAAGGAGATATACCTTACACAAAGCGGAAGACCTATATCAAGGCTGATCACACATTCACCACTGCTGCAACTGCCAACTAGATACACTAGGTTCACCACAGCATCTTTTCTCCCTCAACTAGGGAGTGAGGAGCCCGCCTTCCACTAGGTAGGTAATCATTGATCTTAGACACAGTAAAAGCTCGCAGCACAAAGACCACTGCTGCACTTATCCACAATAACTTCAAAGTCTCCACTTGAGCATTTAGATAGGCAAATTTTATAAGAACCGCATCCTTGAATACACATCAGCTTATAATTCGGCTGTATACGAGATTTGGCGCCATGAACTTACTTGTTCCTGCTGGAGATTTGGCCATGACAGCCACAGACAGCGCCAGGAAAGATATAATTCGCCAGAAATTCATAGTTGCCTAATAAGCTGGAGATTTAGTCTCCTTTCTTCTTCAGTGTTATTCCACACTCACAAGTACTTCCGGAGGTCAAGTCGCTGCAGTGGTTTGAGTCAATGGAAGTTGAATCGAAAGGCAGGTTATGACACGAATCAGGAAACACAATGTGGGATATCGTACTTTATGAAGTCTGACATATTCAGGCCTATACCTATCACTGCTGATCCTGACGCAAGGAAGCTGCGTCGTGCGAGAATCATCGAGATACCTGGGAGACTATGCAAACTGTACAATATCAAGGGTCTAATCTACTGTGGCTGGCTGAAGTAGAATAAAGTTGGTCTCATGCATAAATGCCGCAATTCATTTGTAAAACATGACATGTCACATGTACGTGCCTGTCACGGATAAATGTTAGCTACCTGATATTACTTTTACCACTCTAGCACAGTCAGGATGATTAACGTATCTTGCCAGGACCCTGGTTGCCTTACTACCTCGTATTGTGCAGTAAGATGCATATGTACCCCATGTGCTAGTATATAGGTCCTGATTTGCGGGGTTGTTGTTCTTTAGCCTTGTAGGAATAGAAGTACGGTTTTAATTGCCCTATGGGGAGCAGCAACACTCTAGCTCCTGCAGCAGTGCCTTGGATGATAACAAATAGGGTCCGACCCGGAAAAGCTTAACTTTATTTTTGTCACACGGGGTCCATCGGTTAATTCAGGAAGCAATGTGATTGCTTGAGCTATTGCAGACTAGGACAAGCTGTCAGGATGTAACATAATAAGGTGCTGCTGGTTGGACTTATCAGCTAGCCTTTGACATTTCAAGGATTTCTTCTGCGTTATTAAGTATGAGGAGACTATTCTTCCTGTGGTCAATGAGGAACTAGTCCATTTACACTGTTTTGGTATAGCTTCTCCAATGTTATATTGCGTCAAGGGTCAGAAATCTGCATGTTAAACTCATCCATCACAATGTCTAATGCAAGCCATAGCACAATGCTCTTTCTTTTACTTAATACTCAATGGAAGATCTGCTAGGCGAGCTGAAGTAAATGTCATGCGATCCAGGTTACTTTAGTACAAGGCAACCATGCGCAAAGAATAGACATAGCTGCTGTAGAGAGCTGAGAACAAAGTAGTTAGAAATCTGCTTAAATAAACACATTCATCACAGATCTAAGGCAAGCCACAGCACCATGCTTTCTTTTCTACTCAATGCTCAGTGAACATAACAGCTAAGTACAGTCTCTATTTGAGAAATTTCTTACTAGTTCAGCTGCGGAGAAGAGCAGCCACCCCCAGTGACACAGCAAGATGTCAGGCCTGACCTTTTCCGTGCAGGAGATCTACCACACGGAAATCGCTAGGTAGTATTGTTGTCACCATTTACAGTTTGGTGATTGTGTCCTGGATACTGGTGGCTTACTGCTCAGGGAGTATAGTTCAGCTTAGATTCTTTCCCACTTCCAGCTGACATTCTGGCACGATGTCAATCATACCATCTGAGGATAATGCAGAGCTGTGGACAGTAAAAGCGAAAGGCTAACAAATGTGCTTCAGCTTATGTGCTTCGTTGCTGGAGTGCATTGGTCAAACCTTACTCTATACCTCAGCAAAATTGATAGTAAGGCACAGTCATACAGTGGCCGGGAAAGCTATATAAACCATCAAGAGGAACCTAGCTTGGGGTTCAGCAAGTCAGTCAGACTAGGGAGCAGCTCTTGTCATTCTTCGAATTCTTGCCATAGTTTCACTTCATCGATTTATATTCTTCTATCCAAGTTCTACATAATTTGCAAAGCCACCGTACGCAACTACCACCATGGCCTACTACAGCTATCTCGCCTTGAAGAGACCAGGTGACGGAAACGACGACAACTACAACTGGCTCGTTATCTCCCCTGATCGAAACAGTACCGATACATTCTTCCGTATCCTGTTGGAGAACCAGCAGCTCAAACTAGGCAGCCAGAAAAACAAGGTTATCAACATCCACGAACTCAAAAGGGAGTCTTCTAGATTCTGGACAATCAACTGCGACGATGGAGACGTTGGAGCAACACTGCATTTTGCTCTTTCCGGCAAAAACGAGTCCGGCAACACTGCCGAAGGCACTGTCCTCAATGATTTGGTTGGCAAAATCAAAGTCTACTGGATGGGCGGCCGCACAGGGCTTCAGTGGAGAGTAATCGCCCAGCAGACTGCTGTCAACGTGGACGATGACTGGCTGTCTGGGTACAGTTTCTTCATACGCCGACGGGGCTATCCGAACTCCTACTGGTATCAGAACGACAAAAATACAACAATTCTCTCTGACAACAAGCGAACTCGGTATGTTGTCACTATTACAGGGACCAGAGTCATGTCTCCCAAGATTCCTCTCATCGCCAGCGACAGGATAGTAATCAGTATCATTGGTCCCGGTGGTGAATTGCAGCCGATCAGGATCCGGAAAAGTGGTTCTGGGACAACTCAAAACAAATTTTTGTTTAGCGATTTCTTGACAAGCTTCAATGTTGACAACAACGAAATCGTCATTTCGGAGCCAGGTACTGGGGATAGCTTTGAGCTCTGTGAAGGAACCGCCTACAATGCCTAAGCGGGCAGCTTTTACGGATCTCCAATCTGTCCCTGGACAAGCCACTGTTCCCCGGCGAGAGGGGCGGGTCTTGGTTGGCTTCAGTTGTAAACGATCATCTGGGCCTGAATATATCGTGTTTGCACTATGCCCTTGTTGGTGTGAATAAGCACATGTTTGCCACTGTCATTACTCAGAAAGGATTGTTACATTTAAATTCTCTAGCTTTGAGTATATCTCGTACTAAACCTTAATCCTAGGGCGTAGGAATTAGTGGGTTGTCCACCATATGATCAATAACTGCTGCATAAATACTCTTGTTTATGTTTGCAGTTTGGCTAGCGATGTCCATGAAGCTTTGAGTTCCAGCCTTGACGCTTCGGCGTCAACACCCGTAAGCCGATACGCAATCTGTGCTATATACAAGACCTTCCTTCAGGGTACACGTGATGAAAATGCAGTACCACCAAGTAGCCCAGGCAGCCCAGATAGTTGCCAGATGAGCTAGATGGCCATTTTCATTGGCATAGCACACTTGTGCATCAACAGTGTGCTCCTGCGGGCGTGCTATAACAGCATTTGACGTCTATTGTTGCAGATAAACACTATACCCGAATAGGAATAGTAAATCTGACCACTGGTCCAGAATCATGTGGAGTTTGCACACTTTGCACCAAACCTCCAGCAGAACCTCACACCGCCTTTCATCCATAGAATTTTTATCCTCACCACCACAAGCCATCCATCAAATCGCAATCGCCGAATCCTCTCCTCTTATTCCAGAAAACCTCGCATATCACCGTCAAGATGGTCCGCGAACTCAAATATCACGAGAAAAAGTCCGCCCCTCCTTCCTTCTCAACCCGGTTCCAGCAACCCAACTAACAAACATATAGACTCCTCCGAAAGGTCGACTTCATAAACTACAAATCCGACGGCGGGCACCGCGAGCACCAAATCCGGCAACGCTACCACCTCCAAAACGACACAGACTACAAATCCTACAATGCCCTCGCCGGCTCCCTCCGCCAACTCGCCCACAAGCTCTCCCAACTAGACCCTGACTCGGACCCGCTGCGCAAGAAGATCGAGTCCGAGGTTCTGGACAAGCTGTGGCGGATGGGCCTGCTGAAGCAGTCGCGCGAGCAAGGGGCGGGCTTGTCGCGGGTGGAGCGCGAGGTGACGGTTTCGGCGTTTTGTAGGAGGAGGTTGGCGGTTGTGATGGTGCGGACGGGGATGGTGGAGACGATTAAGGCTGTATGTTCTGTTCTTCCTCCTTTCTGACCGAAAAAGTTAGGTGCTGACTGGGTAGGCTGTGACGTATATCGAGCAGGGACATGTGCGCTGTGGGCCGGAGGTCGTCACGGACCCGGCTTATCTGGTTACGCGCAATATGGAGGATCATATCACCTGGGTGGATAGCAGCAAGATCAAGCGCAATATCATGCGCTACAGGGATAACCTGGACGATTTTGATCTGTTGTAGTTGCTTGGCTGACTGGCTGCTTGGCGGACTCGGCTGACTTGGGGGATGGCTATACGCTTCTATCGATACCCATATATTGCATTTGCATGGCGTCGGGTGTTACGTACATTGCTGGAGATCTAGAAAAGTACTCATTCATTAAACTCATTTTCAGATATAATATGCTTTGATATGCTAAGACTAAGATAAAGAAAAGGCCATGGTGGCAGGGTATCACAATCTCAAGGCTACACCCGTATAAACTGGGTCGACAAAAGCCTTCAAAAACACGAAACCAGGCAGGACGTCAGTGTAATAATCGTGGTATCATTGCTGCACCAACATCGCCCGCGACAAGCAGCACGCTAAACGAGACGCAACATGAAAAAGCTCGAGACGCAGCTCAGAGACTAACACGTCCTCCGCCGAGGGGCAAACCCATGGACGATCAACTTCTTCTTGAACTTCAGGCTTCTACGGGATCTCGACTTCGCCGTCTCGTCGGCCGGCTCATCAGGCAAGTCCATACGAAACCTCCGGACGCTGCCCTCATAATTGCCTTTACCGTTCTTCCCTTCTTCGAAGAACGGCATGCGATTGTCCCCGAATTGGCACCACCGGGGTGCCACTCGTCGCCAGAATCCCCGGACACCGGTGCTGGCTCGATCGATTTTCTCATATTCTCGCCTGCGAGTAGATGGTGATGTCCAGTCGATTACCGTTGGCGTCACCTGTTTTGAAGCGCCGGCGTCTCTTGAATCGGCGGTGGGTACATAAGTCGGCTGATCGGGGCTCAGGCTGGTGTCCAGCCCTGATTCTCGAGCTGTAAGGGAGAAACGGGTGTGGACAATTGGCGACGCTGGCGGTGAACTGAATTCAGAAGATGCTCGGTGTGCGCAAGATGTCACATAAGGAAGGGTTGCCGGAGGAGATCGTCTTTCCTGCAAGCGGGATTGTTGTAATTCATTGTCCTGATTGTCCTGGAATAGTCGACAGGACTCGCGATGGAGGGCCAAAAGGTCTTCACGCTTTGCCACTGGATCCTTTCGATCAACGATGGACGGTGTAAGCGGTGTAGTGGTTGCTGCACGACGGTGCGAATGCAAAGAACTGCGGCGGCTTGTAGGTGCGGACCGACGAGTGCTTCGAGAAGTAGAGCGACGATGGTCGGGAGATTTTGCAGAGGACGGCGGTGACACTGTTCGTTTCCTTTTTGGCGTGCGATGCCTATCCGACGTAGGGGTTGAAGGCGTCGCCGCCGCCGTATCTGGTTGCCTGACAGCATACGTCAAGCTGGTTTCCATCTGGTCCAAGCAGTCCTTCGATGTCAAGTCCAACGCTGTAGGCGAGTCGCATGCATCCGCGGGAATCTCAGTAACCTCTACGGTGCTGTAGAAGGTCTTGGCCTCTGAAATGTCGCTTAAGCAGGGCGAGATAGCTCTTGTAGTGATATTGAGGGATGGCACAGTTGAGACTGCCAGATACGAAGCAGGTTGATCATAGCCAGGAGTGAGACTGAATGCAGTAGAAGGACTTATTGTGGAAGTCGAAGTTGTGGTTGTGATAGAGGAAGCGAGGGTAGCTTCATCTACAGGGATCGAGTGGCTTCCGTGATGAGAGTGGCTCATATGGGGATTGCCGCTGGGCAGTATAGCTCCATGGCATGTGAATGAGGCGGCCATGCTCCCAGTCGCTGCCTTAAACATCAGGTGGGAAGAGCAAAAGGTAAATGGGATGGCAAAGATTCACATGTGCTTTGCCGTCAAAAGGCACCAGTCAGAGGCGAAGGATCAAAAGACCATCGACTTGAAGACATGTGTCAGTGCCGCTGACGAATGTGTTGATCCCAAGGTTATATGAATGAATCAGACACCCTACTTTTGCATCACGCAGCCAATCGGTAGTATAAGATTATGGTTCAAGGAGGGGAAGATCAAAGAAGAGAGGGGCAAAGCACGGGATGATCATTGAAAGGGACTCATGATGAATGATCAGCCCGTTGATCAGGAAGACAATAAAGAATGTTATGCTGCAGAAAGGAGACAGTAATGATAAGACTAATGATGTTGTAAATAGAAACCTGAAACCAACGAAAGATCTGTGTCAAGTTAGGGAGGGATTCCCAGACGAAACCTCATCCTTTTCCTTGCGCAAGTGAGTCGGTACTGGAAACTAAATACTTGTAGGTACCACGAAAGAATTCTCTTCACCGACTGTAGGCGCCCAACAGTGCCAATTTGCCAACGGAGGGCGATCATCGTGGTGCGAGTATCTAGTTTCATCTCCATAGCGGCAACAGAGGACCCATTTTAGTTGATATCATTCAACGACAAATGAATGCAGAAACGATTGTCGCCGGCGTTGACGCCCTAATGACCACAGCGACTGAATAGGTAAAAGCCCCCGCAATCGCCCGAGAACAGGTCAGAAAGACTCCAAAAAGAAGTCTCAAAGCAAAGAAGAGCTGCGGGGTTCGTTCGCTGCCATTACCATCATTACATACAGAGTATGGATGGACACTAAAGGTAGAAGAAAGCGGAATCCACCCGCTTTCCTCTTAAGGTGAGTCTAGATCCCTTGTCCCTGACCCCCTGCATGGCTCTTTTCAGGAACCGAAAGAAACATGGGAGATTCCTTCATGCAGTGTCAGCATCGGAGCATGTTGACCCTGGAGACTACGTCATTTGCAAGTTGCAACTTGAGTATGGATTACCTTCTCGTACAAGAATAGAAAATACTCCAAGGGAGGTACACTCATCCTGGATTACCTTCAAAAGCAAGGGACAAGCTGAGCCTGTGACTTGCCCTGCACAGTCCTGATACGAGACAATTTTCTTGGCCAGAATGTCGCTGGTCTCCACCTGACTTGCCCCACTACGCCCCTCCGGCGCATGGACTTCCTCCATCCGCGGTCGCGCAACGGGTCATCTGCCCCTCCTTCTGGCAGCCATTGGTCGACACAGTTGACCGCCGTTTCTATTCTTTTGCAAGGCGGTCAATCTGGAATTCTCATATGAGTTAATGTTTACCAATCACTGAATAGTATACTACAAATCCTGAATATGGAGGGCTGGTCCAGTTTTGATACTGGTCATATCAAGAGCCTGGTCCGTGCTGTACATTCACAGTCTTTGATATCCTTGATTAGTTGGCTGGCTCCTCAAAAAGGATAAAGTACCCGGCATCCACAGCTCAAATCAAGTTCATGTCTGATTAAACTTCGAATCCATGTCGACACTGGCTCTTGAGAACCAACCAAAACTCTCGAGGTCTCATGGTTTCTTGAACAGGTAGGTCTGCTTGTGACAGGCGGGTCATACTCATCCATGTGCATTGAACTAAGCTAGTAAATGCCCTATGCCAGTTCATTTGAGTTTGGAGAAAGGCTCTCTGTTTTACGCCTGCTGCCATGCGTGTAGTGCATGATCAGGCGCAGCAGATGCTTCAAGCCATCTGAATGGACTTTGATCATTTCAAATAGTGCAGCAGTACTTGAGGTCATCTTACGGAAAGAACAGAAGAATAGGTAGTTCTCCCATGGATGGTCGCTCCATGT